CAGTAGTATTGCTCGTTTGTATCGAAACTATTAATATTAGCGAATCATGATGCGATTATAACAGCAAACAATTTCTCGACGCCTCTTTCGAGCATTAGAGGCGCCCCGGAAACGTGGAGCTCTGGAAACTGCAGGAAAATTTAATTTTCATTTCAATTAAATACAACCACCCACATTTTTAAAACTCTCTCGTAATTTATCGATAGATTGCGTGTTCTCTGCTTCCAGGGCTAGGATCTTTAAATTTTTCACGATTTTTCGAGAACTTTCGGAGAAAAAAAAATGTTGGAAAGATTTATCCAAACGTTTCAAGACAATTCGTAGGATTAATTTGAAAAAGTTTTCGTTCTCCCGTAAAAACTAACCACCTGAAATTTATTTATATTGGCTCGATTACCGGGGCCATGCATTCGCAAGAACGGTTGGTGTAAAATAAACTAATGGTTTCCATGGGCTGCGTTTCCCCGGCGTCGCGATAATTCGAATTTCGACGGAAGTTTCTATTTATTCGGACCGTATCGGTATTCGATTAATAACTATCGGCCGTGAAATAATGCGATAACTGAACCGTCGTAGAAGGTACAGGCGGACGGAAGATAAAAGCCCTTCCATAAGTCTAATGGGCAATGACGCGCGATAAGATTATCGGAATAATGTAACGTGAAATTGCATTAAATTTAACTCGATATCCATCGCGCTGAAAAATGCTGAAATCGTATCGGCGGAATCGTGCCGCTCGCTAATGTCTCGTTTTTCCATTTTTTTTTTTTCTTTTTCGGCCCTCTCTTTCTCTTTCGTTTTCTTTTACACATCATTCTCGACCGGGACTCTCGAGCGCGGAAATATTTCACGGCTGACGCGAAACCATTGGCCGGACGGGGGACCTAATTTTGTTAGCGATCCAACATTCGTCGCGACGGAGGGCAATCAGTCCGCGAGAACTGCAGAAATCGGTCCATAAAACGGAATTGGTCAATTTGTATCAACTGATTCCGAGTGTTATCGATGCTTGGAAACGAAGGACCAGTTGCTTTTGTTCGTTCTTCTTTTTTAAATTAAAACACGAACGTCGACGATTGGTTTCTAATTATTAATCGATCAAAATTCTGGTTCGTTCAAGTGACACCAATATTCAAAGATTCAACAAAATTATGGGCTTAATGGAATTTTCTTGGTTTTGAAATTTTATGGTTACATCGACACAATTCTCGAATTTTTGTCGAAGACGTTTAAAGCCACGCCTATTATAGAATAGCAGGCCCTGCCTTAAACAACTGGGATATTGGGAAGTTGTTCAAGGAATGTATATATAGCAACCGAGAGGTCGGTCGAGCGCTTGTGAGAGCGCGAGCCCTCTGGTGGCGAGCACAGGAGGCAACGCCACAACTACGTTTTAAAATACACAACATCATACAACAGCCTATAGTATCCCACAAAAAGATTTCTAATATCTTTCATGGTTCATAAAATAAATTCGTGCACACGTTTCTCGTCGTTTTCGAACCTTCAAAGAATTTAAAAATTCCCAGGACGTGGTCAAACATGATTCCCTGTCGCGCGGTGCAGTTTAAAATAAAAATTGAAACGAACCTCGTTCCAAAAGGGTTATCAACGAATATTTCTCTAAAAAGCTACTGCATTTTCCGCCGTCCAAACAGCTTTCCTTTCGAAAAAAAATGTTTTCGAGGCAAAGGTTTGGGCACGTAGAATGTAAAGGAATAAACACAATGCGTCGATAGGAGAAAATTGAATTGAAACGACGACGGTGCTTAGCGGGACGAATCGAAGGCTAAGCTGTCTGGACATCCTCTTTGAATTTTCCACGGAAAAGAAACTCCTTGGACGAAAAGTGTCTTGCGAGTTAGTGCATTTAATAGAGTACGCTCAGGGCTATACGTGGTCTGTGGTTCTTGAAAACAGTATCAGTCGTTAGTGGATTACTCAGCTTCGTGAAAAGAGCTTTCCGTCCTTTTTGACCGGACCCTTTGAGGGGCTGTTTGAAGAATTCAGACTTCTATGTATTTTGTGCGCTCGCGTCGGAGCCGCGCTTATCCCTCGGATGAACTATTTAAATGCAAATCCAAAAGGGTTGACGGGATAAACGCGTTAGGAATCATTTTCCATTAATCCCGGAGCAACCACGTTCGCGTTCAGTCGAGTATGGACAAAACTGGATACCTCGAATCGAATTAAGAGCATTTAAACGTCCGCGATCCCTCTTACGAAATTTCATTGGAAAGACGATGAAAACGGAATACATGTGGCGCTGCTTTGCTGCAGGTAGGAACTCGGGAAATTCGTAGGAGGCGTGAAAAGGAAAGGAGGACGACTGGGATATTGGGAAGTCATTCCAGGAATGTATACATAGCAACCGAAGGGTCAGTCGAGCGCTTGTGAGAGCGCGAGCCCTCTGGTGGCGAGCACGGAAAGTAACACCACAGACAAATCTAAAGACAGACTTCTCGAACAAATATATTTCGATTCTTTTAATCTTTGGAAACTATTTAGACACAGAATTATTCCCCTATTCGTACGTAAAGAATGTATGATTTTGAAGAAAGCCAACCTTCAGCCAAAGTACACTCGTTTGCGTTCTCTTCTAGAATACATATTCAGGAGAATGAGGATAATATTGTGACAGCTACAAGCACGTGTTCCAAAGTGGACGAGGTAATTGTGACCAGAGAAGAGTGTTGTCTGTCCCCGGTGTAAAGTATAAACGGGTTTCTTAAATATATCCTGCTATTAGAGACGCTATTTCACTCAGGGTATAACATTATCCGGTACGAAAGGGTTACGTAAATCACAGCGTACACGAAGGCCGGAGCAAACAACGGTGAAACGAACCACATCGAGAGAAACACCTGGGTGGCGTCTTCGCCGTTGATTGTGCTTGCTCTTTCCTGTTTTTCGCGTCCCGGGTAGAAGATAGATCCGATATCTTCGGAGTGCAATCACGCCGCGGCACGAAGTCGGCAGCTGTTTTATCGGCCCCGGGATCTAACTTCGGCCAAGAAAGAATCACAATCGTTCCTCGGATCGATTCTCGCGCCGCCCGACGTCGGAAATAAACCGATAAGGGCGGTAAAGACTGAATCCAACCGTACTGAATTCGACGCTCGAAATCGCGAAAAGTTGGCAAAATTTCAGGGCACCGACAATACCAGGATTTCTCTAGATTCGCATACTTTTCATTATTTCTTTATTTAAGGCACTAGTATCACTATATTTTTGTTTCTCGTTCTTTCTTGGGATCCTTATGCATCATATATTTTTATATCTATTCGTGATTCAAAAATCATTATTATTTATATTACATTATCGGGATTATTTCCCGATTAATAGACCAAAAGTAAATTTTTAACGTGCTTGAACAAATTGAGCGGAAAACGTTAAAATTGCCGGCAGCTTTACCCATTACATTTCATTGAAGTGTCCAATCGGTCAATGTGAGCAACAAATTGGATTTAATAACGAATAATTCCACCGTCGATTGCTCGATAAAACTAAAGAACGTATTATAATTTCGAGCCTGTTTTCAATGCATATTATAGTAACATATTGAGGTTAGTTACCTTTAGGTACCAAAGCGTTATTTCAACGAAGTGATTAAACTAGATAAAACAAAAATCAAGATCGAAATATAAGAGCAAAGAAGTAAAAGAAAGTAACCCACCCCTTTCCTTATTTACCCTGGGATGACTTATGCACTCTTGCAAGCTTACACTAAAAGTAAAGAGTGCTTTCAGGGATTCTCTCAAAGCCTTGTCAAGATTCTACTCTCGAAACATCGCGGCAAACGTTTCCCAGATTTCCAGATTCGTATGGAAACGCTCGAATATTCCGATTATCGTTCGCGCAAGGAATTAAATGAGTACAGGGATAAAAATTGCGTCGATCGTAAACCGAAACGGTAATCGAAGTGTCCCGGGATCCGCGTACGTCGCTCTTAATCGGTTTTACGTTTTAACTCTGTTACATTTAAACGATCGCTCGTAAAAACAAAAGCTCCCTGCCGCGATGGCAGACGTTCATTTCAACTGTTTTGCGAATCGCCGGCCGTTAACATCATCGGATTAAAGAGAGGCTATTGCCCCGCGAATTAATCAGACGGGTGAAAGGATGACACGATGGGTGTTACGAGAACGGAAATATGTGGTTCGCCTAAACCGAGGATTCCAAAGACGAACGATCGGACCATGAATCGAGCAAGATGGATCCTCCCCAATATACGCACTCTGGACCCTCGCTGGAGTTTTCTACGATTCCGCAAATGGAAAATCAGGAACTAAAAGTCATTAATTGGACGCGAATTTTCTTCCAAAACGTTTGGAAATTATTTTTTTACGAATCACAGTCGAGGAATTCTTCGAAAATAGCTAACTCTAACCATGATTTTTGTTGGAATCGTATTCAGCAGTATATCATTCTGTTCAACCCATTTTCGAAAACAGTGTTTGATATACACGCATAAAATGAGTAACCGCGTATTTACGAGTCCGAGTAACCCCGAGGACTCATTGTTCTCCGTTTTAGTATCTAGAAAGCTACTACGACTGCCCGCTGAACCACAATGTAGGTCGAGATGATCTTGACTCTAGACTACGGCTGAATACAGAACAAATATCGCCCCGGTAGTCTAAACAATTTTTTTAAACTAAAACATGTGCATTACGAGAACAATAGCGCACTCTGTCTTCAAGATAGTAGAATATTTATAGATAATTTCTAAAACATCCTTTATGGTGTTGCTTTGGACCTATATTACTATTACTTTAAAAGAATATTTGAATTAATCGAAGAACGACTAAAGTTAGAAAATATAGAATATTTACAGGTAATTTCAATTTTCAAAATGGTCTGGGTTAGGTCTGGGTTAGGTCTGAAACCGGCAAGTCTACCGGCACTCCAGGGAGCTCCAGGAGGCTGGGAGACCGCCAGAGGAGAGGAGGCAAGCGGTCGAGGAGACGAGGCGCCATGCCCAACGGGCCGTTGTATTTATGTGGTTCCAGCAGATGATTCGGGCTGGGGCCACGCAACGGTCCGTGGGTGCAGTCCTGCCACACTGGCAAGACAGGCAGGACAAATTAGGTAGGCTGTCCTACAGGATGACACAGGTACTCACCGGGCATGGTTGCTTTGGTGAGTACCTGCCTCGAATCGGGAAGGAGGCGACGGCGGTGTGCCACCATTGTGGTGGACCCCAGGACACGGCGCAGCACACGCTGGCAGTCTGCCCAGCGTGGGCTGATGAGCGCCGTGTCCTGGAACAGGAAGTTGGGAGGAATCTCTCGCTGGCCACCATAGTGGGAAAGGTGGTGGCCAGCGACAAAATCTGGCAAGTGGGGGCCTCCTTCTGTGAGGTATTCATGTCACAGAAGGAGAGGAAGGAGGAGAGGGAGGGCTCGGATGGGGGCCAGGGCGAGGCATCCTTCGCCTCCTGGCCCTCTCCAACGGCCTTGAGGTCCGGACGGGCCTCTAGAAGTGGGGCGGCCCGTTTGCATTCTCCGACCACCACGTCGGTGGCCTGGGGGCTGACGGGCCGACCCTGGGGGCTGCAGGTGCTGGGTGCGTGGGGCCCTAGCACCGAAGGCAGCCCCGGAGCCGTGGGCGTCGGGTGACCTGGCGTCTGCGGCGGAGAAATCAGGGGGGGGATGGACATGTTGTCCTTCCTCCCGGGATGAGCCTCGACAGGCAGGGCGCGGCGGGGGACTCTGTGATGTCTCACTAGAGTTCCCGGTCCCCCGCCGCAGCGCCGGAGGACGGTCACCGTGGGGTTTTAGCCGGTAGGAGTCCGGCACTACCCCGAGCCCCCCACCTACTTGGGGCCTCGGGGTGTCCATGAGGATTTCCCCACGTACAAAAAAAAAGGTCTGGGTTAGGTCTGGGTTAGGTCTGGATTAGGTCTGGGTTAGGTCCTTCTATCCTTCTTCTATCTTTCATGCTTTTATATTTGAATTAAATCTATCGAAGAACGACTAAAGTTAGAAAATATAGAATATGTACAGGTAATTTCAAATTTCAAAAACACCCTTCACGATATTGTCTTAGACCTATATTATTATCACCTTAAAAAAATATTTGAATTAAATCTATCGAAGACAGTTTGTCGTAAAAAAAAAATTGTTTGATTTAAGGAGTTGCCCGGGGCGTGAAATGTTGTTGAGCGCAGCCAGTTCCGTGGCATCAAAAGTATGGGAAAATTGCATTTATCACTTTTACAAATACGCCGCCAAACGGTTCTCCGGATCCGTCGGTGCACGCGATTTCCATTGTAACGTAAAATCGGGACCGCGAGGCGATTTCAATTTTTTTTTTTTTTTTTTCTCCGCCCCCAGCAGCTCGAGATTCGTTCAATTTCCTCGGCGGGCTTTCGCGCGTGTCAAACGGCTCGGCATTGTGCGGCCGAAACATGTTTCGCGATCAGACAGATTCCACGATACGTGTATAAACAAAACATTCAATCAAACGCACTGTAATGGCAATTTTCTAGACGGACGACGATCTATTTCACGGCGCGCGGCTTTCGATAAATTGTTTACGAAAAACAGGGGGCGAAAAAGGTGGTCGGAAACGGGGGAAACAGTAACCGTCGATTTCCATCGTGAAACGACAGCCTAATCGTCTGTAAAATCTCGTACATGTTTGCTTCTGAATATTTTTAACAAATAATTAAAATAACTTGCCGCAAAATAGACAATAAAAATGTATTTTCCTATCGCCAGCAACGAGTGTGTTCGACTTGGATATCGATCTAAGTAGAAATAGCAAATAATGCGCAGACACGTGTCCCGCGAATATTCAAATTTTTTATCCGATTGGTGTCACATGATACAGTGCTGTAATAAAACTAGCAACAAAAGACGACGATACACCAGTTTGCTTCGACGATTCTTGAACTTCGTGTCAGAACATAAAACAGTGGGCAATATTGTTTCGTTTTGGGGGGGAAACATCGCTCGAGGAGGATGACCCTCGTCCAACCTATGATCTGCGATGTCAGAGGAAGCTCGTGGAGACACGTTGAGGGACAGACGTTTAATGGACAAGGAGATTGCCGCGAAAATTGATCTGTCTAAAACAACTGTTTGAGGGCCCTTCGGAAATATTTACAGTCGAATGTGGTGAGAAAAATACGGGGGACGAGAATGCTTTCTTTTCTTTACAAAGGAGCAGTGACTCGACTGCACTGAAGAGTTTTTGCGGTTCTGGAAAATTGAAATTTTGGGGGGCACGAAAAGGTAATCCTTTGTTACGATCTACCTACGCGAAAGGCAAAGTTTGTCGATTTTTAGCCAGGCATCTCAATTTTGTAATACGTGCAATGATTTCTAGAATTTTTATATAAAATTCTAAAATATTCCCCACGTTTATTTCGAATAACATCTTTCAGTTTAATCTGAAATTTATTATACACAAGCTTAAATTGAACAAAATGTTTCCACTCTCGAATAATTCTATCGACTCTTCGCTATTAGTTACAATTAAAAATATTTAATTCGTTAGCTAAGCAAATAAAATAAAATCCAAAGCTGACACGGCGTATCGCCAAATTGCTTTAAACGAGAAATATAGCCGGGCAAATCCACGAGTACAAATTATTGAATTCGATCGTAAACTTCCATTCGAGCGTCATTCGTGGAACCCTTCGTATATTAAAATTCCATTAACGAATTTTTTCCAACCAACGTCGCCGGTCACAAAGGGTAACGAATCTGAAATTTGTATTCGTTAGCGGAACGTGAAATTCGCCCCGAATCGCGCGCGGATTTTGAATTTTCCCGTAAAATATTTTCGACTGGCTGCCACCTCGTGCGTCTCGAACGCCGTACTTTTCGGATAAAATAAATTAGGTCGTACGTCGCGGAGGGGGTTTTCGTCGATGGATGTTTAAATTTCCCGTGAAAGTCGCGCGACGGTGTATCGTTACAGTAAAAAATTCGAAATTTATCCGCGAGAAACTGCGCTTCGAAAGACGGAAAGTTGTCCGACCGATCGAGGGACCGTTTCGTTGATGCGAATTCAATTTGGACGAATTTGCTCCGCGACGTACGTGCTTGGAGAAAAACATTTCCATCGAAAGAAATCGGACGTTTGTTCCAGAATTTTATGGGTCGTGCATTTCCAATCGCGTTATCCGTCCCGTTAAATTGTTTCAGCGAGACTGTCGCTCCTCGCGTAATTACCGTTCCGGTTCCGTTTTAAGGCTCCCCGCCGCTGGGATATGCAAATTGCATAAATTTCGGGGGCGGAATTCTTAAAGAACCGCGACAAGAGATTCTCCGCCGGAATAAATGCGGAACGAGAGGGGAGGCGGTTGTTATTTTAAGGCACGAAATAAAAGTCGATAATTGGACTCGATCCAGTGCTCGACGGGGCTGGAAAACTGACTGGACGACGATAGGCGGCCGTGTCAACGAAACGACGTCAAATTAAGCGCTGTCTAGGCAAACTTAGAACTCCGCGGGAAGTTGAAAACGATCCGTCAAAACTTTTAAACCCGATATTCGCGAATAGCGGCTCTTTTCGTTAAAAATCGTCCCGATAATTCTCTCTGTCTGAAAGTCCTGGCGATCCGGCCGTTTAATTTCGAATGTCCCGCTCTGGCAATAATATAAGTCGCTCTCGTGCGTTCACTCCATGTTTCGAATCAGGAATTTTCGGGATAATTTTATTGGAATATAAAATACATTAAATTCACATTTGACTACATCGATCGATATAATAGAAATATATTCACTCTTAATAAACTACAAAATTCTTAGAAATCAATCTGTAAATATTAACTTACCTGACCATTTTCATCTTACGATATTGTTCTAGGTTAGGTTCCCATGTTTCAAATCGGAATTTGGGGGATAATTTTATTCAAATATCAGGCAACCAACTAGACGTATATTAAATTCACATTTAACTACTAAAAAATTCTTGGAAACAAATATCAACTTACTCGACCATTTACACCTTACGACATTGTTCTGAACACGACAAAGGAAATTGGAGATCGTATAACAGATTCGTGGAACGAATAAAACGAAATAAAGGTACATCGAAGGTTCTGTGGTGTTCCTGGGTAGATCGGTAAGCTTTCAATTACTTAACTCCTCTCGTTGCATTCCATAGTCGCACTACCCCGGACTTAAACGGAGAAACTACTGTAATTCAATGCCTGAGCGTTGGAGGGGCGGTGGGCAGGTAGACGCGAGCAAGGGGGTTAGTAAGAAGACGTCGCAAGTTTACATCTCCGTAACCAGAACTTTCAGACGGCACCGACTCAATTAAAAGGCAACCGAGTGAAATTTGTCGGTTCCGCAGATACCGGTGACGTCGCGACGCCAGACAACGGTGAACGTCGTCGTCGTCGTTGGGTATTTATCAGGCCGCGAAACACGTGACGCGGAAACCGTCGAGGCGTTAATTCGATGTTTCGCGGCGGCTCTAATCTGACGGAAGGAAGAGCCATCGCGTCTTCCGGGAGTTAAACGCTAGTTAGACGCACTTAACATCGGCGTGGGAGGACTCGTCGAAACTTTAAACTCGATTGGTACCCACCGGCACCAGTCGTCGAGGAATTCGTTTTCTGGACCGTTGCTCCACCACGCTTGCGTGCGATTTCCTACCCCCCTCGCGTAAAATACTCACCCACCCCTCCGCGTGGCGGTAAATTAATTACGAGAAGGGGCAGAGTAACAGAGTCACCGGCAGGAACGAGACAGTTTCTCTTAGTTTTAGAATTGTTCCACTTTTTTTCACAAAGGGACTTAACCAAAAACGCTCGCTGAAATTGGAATATGTATTTTTTATGAATCAGCAAAAATCAAAAAATCGTACGTTTTTTCTTTTTTAAATATACTCGAACCCAGCGGACTTTTCGTAAGCTACGTCGTGTTTCCGTTTCACCGCGAAAAGTGATCGATTCGGAGGCCGGGGGATGAAACGTTGTTCTGTCGATGACGGACGAAAATTGAGGTTTCGCGTTCGCTGGCGTCGATTTCCCGCCCACCGAAAGTATTAATCGTTCCGCCCGGGGAACGCGCGTAACGGGAAAAGGTTAACAGTCGTAACCAAATACTCATCGCGAGCTGCGCGGCTTCTGACGTGTACTAATGATATCAACGACCGTTGGAAACGAGAACCCGGCCGCTTGCTTCCTGTTTTTAATCTCGTGTAACGGCCGCTGGCGGCGTCTAATATAGGTTACAGCAACGAACGCGATATGGTTCTGCTATTGCCGGAGTGTTGCGCGAAATGTTTCTCGCCCAAGAAGTAATATATTTTACTGCGGCGTTTTACAAACTCCGTTTCCACCAGCGCTCCGCGAGATACAAACAAGCTTCCCCTGTAAACGAGTATCTTTAATAATCGGGAACCACTTTCCTGCCATTGCAATTTTTCATATTATCCTTCCGCCGATTTCCAATGCGTGGACACAGGATAAAACTCTTTAAATAGATTCTAAAATATACTGAAGGAAATCTAACACATACATTGGAATTTAATTTTTGCTTTTAACAGGTTCACTGCCAGGTGAAAATACAATTTTCTATTAAACTTAAATTTTGCTCAAATTTATTTCAAGATCCATAGTGGAAAATCCTGTCATCCATGTGTGGGTGACGTG